ATACACATATATATATATATATATTTGATAAAATGTTTATTAGGAGAAATTATAAATAAACTCTTATTTATATTTTCTCCTTACAAAAAAAATGTATATTTAGGTGTTGAAATTATATATGTATATTGATAGTTTGTAGATGCAATTACTTGGTGACACACAGAATTTTTGATCAATTTATTGAATATTACAGGCAATATAACGTAATATACATTCACGATTCACCATGCCATCGTATTGCTCTGCATACAAGTGTTCCAACAATAGCGATCAAGGCTATGCATTAGTCAGATACCCGCGTGATGAAACTTTAAAAAGAAAATGGATTGCTGCGGTAGGAAGAGGCAAAAATTGGTCACCTAGCAGTTCTCAAAAACTTTGCGAGGTTAATAGTTATGTGTAGTATTCTCTGATTTTATACTTTAGAAGATAAACATGTAATAATTACTGTTAGAGTCATAACATATTTGTAATTTTTTTTGCAGATACATTTTAAGCCTTCTGAAATTGAATTTGTTGCTGGACGCAAACGAGTAAAATTTGATTCAGTTCCATCTCGTTTTTGTACGTGTTCCTCAGAGGATCGAGAGAACTGTCATGGAAAGTTAAAAAAAAAACAGAAAAATAGGAATAATCCTTATCAGCGTCAAACTGTTAGCAAACATAATGATTGTTGCATTGTTATTCAACCTCCTGTAAAGAAAAATGAAATATTAGCTGATAAACAAGAGGAATTCATTGAAGAACTATGCAAAGAAAAAGATGGGATACAACTGGTGGACGAAAATGAGAATTTTCTGAGGAGCATTATAGATGAAAATGAGGAATTGCAAATTAAAGTAAAAGAAACTGTAAAAGACATAAAGAAAACTAAAAAGATGGATGTGAAAGATATGCATAGAAAGATATATGAAGAAAATTGTCAATTAAAACAACAGATTAAGAAACTATGTGAAAGCGTACAACATACAAGCAAAGTATTAGCTAAGGATCAATTGCAAGTTTTAGAAACTGGAAGTAGTAAATGTTTCAAATGGTCAAAGGAAACCATTCTAAAAGCACTAGGGTTACGTTTTACTTGTGGAACTACAGGTTATAATTATTTAAGAGAAGTGGTTGCTCCTTTTCCTTCTGTCAGGACTTTACAGAGGAATGTAGAAAATATATCTTTTGAACCAGGACTTTTGACAGATATTTTTCTTTTAATGAAAGAAGTGGGAGAAAATTTAGATAAAATTCACAAATATATTCTGTTGTCTTGTTTTTGATGAGATGAGCATTCAAGAAAGAATAGATTTCGATAGAAGTACTAATGCTTATATTGGATACATAACTTTACCTGGTGTATCTCGGACAGCTCACTCAGTAGCATCTAAATTATTCGCTTTTCTTCTCAGTGGAATATGTAAAAGGTGGAAGCAGATAGTAGTATACCACTTCACGCCTTTACAAACACGCAGTAAAAGTATTAAAGAAATAATATTAAGCATATTAGAAGAATGTGAAAAAAATGGTTTTGTTGTAATTTGTTTAGTTTGTGATATGGGTAATCGTGGCGTTTTGAACGAACTTGGATTCAGCTGCAAGAAAAATAAAATGGTGTTCAGCATTCCTCATCCATTCAACCCATCAAGAAATTTGTACGCCGTTCCAGATTTTATTCATACCTTTAAAAATTTTAAAGAAATGTTAATGAAAATTGGTATTATTGTATTACCTGAAGATATTGTTAATATGTATAATTTACAATCAGGAATGATAGATATGAAATATGTAGAGTGGCTTGAAGATAAACAATCCGATATGAATCTAAAATTTAATCCGAAATTGAAGAAGAAAGATTTGAAGCCTAATCACTTCAATGAAATGAAGGTTACCACAGCTACCAACATTATCAGTCCTGAAACTGCAGGAGCTCTTTACCGCCTCAGTGAGGCTACTAATGATTCTGTAATGGAAACAACTGCTTGGTTCAGTATAATGTTAAAACATAATATACAAATTTACTCTATTATTTATTTTATTCAAAATAATGACTTCACGTAACACATTGTTTGCGTTAAGTTTTCATAAGATAAATTGCTATCAGGAAGCAATACAAATTATTCGCTTATTTGTTTCTATTTTTACGAATCCAACGTTTGAAGGAGAATGGAAAGTTACTCTTACACACATGATTATGTGTTTAGAAGCTATATTAAACATTCAAGAAGAGTTACTTAAAACAGAATCATTAGATTTCTTATGTTTAGTCCGCTTTAGCCAGGACTGTCTTGAAAATGAATTTTCTAATATTCGTATACAGCGGCCAAAGCCTTCTGCTCTGGAATGTAAAAACCGCCTGAAGCAATTAGCTCTATCACGTAAAGCTATATTAATAAGTAATTCTAGCTACAATTTTGATGGATCTTCAACGTTGATTGACCTTATGTCAACCAAAAAAAAATCAAAGGAAACTGACACTTTAACGTCAGATGTATTTTCACAGCCGCATACAATAAAATCTTTAACGGATGAAGAAGAAGAAATATTATACAAAATGTGTGGCTATGTTGTGTTCAAGCTTAAACAACGAATAAAGTGTACTAATTGTTACTCTAAATTATTACATTCAGGTCCAGTTTTGCATCCTAGAAGCGGCTTTTTGATACGTTGTGAATTCCTGAAGGGAGCCTCTTGTTTCAGTTTCCGATGAAGTATTTCAACTCTTAAAAGCAGTAGAATTAATTATAAGAGACGTAAAGAGTAAGTTCAAAGATATTGGGAAATCGTTGAGAGAAACTAGAACACTACTTGAAAAATCAATTGTCTACATTCGTTATTAGTACTTGTCATGATATGAAGGATATTTTAATTTCTAGATACTGCAGTATGAGATTGTGTCAGATAGCGTCAGAACTAAACAGTATGCCTCCCAATAAGAATAATACATCCTTTGGCAGTAAGAGCATGGGATCAAGACTTTTAGCTGATAATTTCAATCCTAGTAATTGCAATCGTGCGCTCAATACATTAATAAATAATATGAGATAAAGAAACTATGCAATACATTTCTTTTTACAATAATTCGCAATATATTATTTCTGTCGTTATTGCTGTTTCGATATTTTAAGTTTCTTGTTTTCGATTAATAATTTAATTAATATAACATATTTTATTTTCGATATATAAAACATAAAGAATACATTGATTGCATTGTTTTAACAAATCTTTGTGTTGTGTATTAAAAAATATTTAGGAGTCTTGGTTAATATGATTTGTTATACGAATTAAAAAATAATACTATTACATACGAGGTCTGTCCGGAAAGTATCGGGCCTACCTTTATATTTCCGCGCCATAGTGTTCGAGCGACCTCTGCGGGGCATGAACGTCAACAGTAAAGCCTCACGAACCTATCGGTTGCTTGCTGATATCTGCCGGACGTATAGTTCATGTGCAGCGTGTCTTTGTTTACACAGCTGTTTTTGAGTTCCGCGGATTTTGTGATTGTTAAAAATGACTGAAAAACAAGATCAACGAATTTGCATCAAATTTTGTTTTCAACTCGGAAAAACGACATAGCCGACATAGCCCCTTGTGACTTTTGGCTGTTTCCAAAACTCAAAAAACCACTCAAAGGACAGCGATTCGATGACAAAACGACGGTTGAAAATAATGCGACGAGCGTACTCAAGACCATCCCCAAAAGCGAGTTCCAGGATTGTTTCGAGAAGTGGAAACATCGCTGGAACCGTGTTATTCAATTCAATCAAGTGGGGATTACTTCGAAGGATGCCACCCGCCCGATGATCCAGAATAACGCCAGAGCGGAGATATAAAGGTAGGCCCGATACTTTCCGGACAGACCTCGTATATTGTTATATTTATTACAATACCCTTTTCATTTATTCGTTAAAATATGCAATAAACATGTTTTTTTCTAGCTTTCAGGGAGTATAACAAACGGTTATAATAAATAAAACCATTAAAAGAAATGCTTCTTTTTTTATTTTAAATATCGAAACAGTAAATTATTACAGAGAAAATATTACAATTTATTCTTTTCCTTATGCTTGTATTACAACTTAAGTAATTATAGATACTATTTAAACACGTTAGTTGTTTCCATAAAATTGAGTATTGAACTCTAGTTACAATGATAAGTCTTAAGTTACTTGCCTAATAGTTTACTTTATACAATTTAAGGTAATTGAAACTCGTTTTAACAATAAGAGATTTTTAAATACAAATTTGCCACAAATACAACATCATTTTTTTCTATTTTCCAATACTTTTTGAAGAAAAGAAACAATTTGTTTCAATATGTCATTTTCTTTGCGTAATTCTTCAATGAATTCCTCTTGTTTATCAGCTAATATTTCATTTTTCTTTACAGGAGGTTGAATAACAATGCAACAATCATTATGTTTGCTAACAGTTTGACGCTGATAAGGATTATTCCTATTTTTCTGTTTTTTTTTTAACTTTCCATGACAGTTCTCTCGATCCTCTGAGGAACACGTACAAAAACGAGATGGAACTGAATCAAATTTTACTCGTTTGCGTCCAGCAACAAATTCAATTTCAGAAGGCTTAAAATGTATCTGCAAAAAAAATTACAAATATGTTATGACTCTAACAGTAATTATTACATGTTTATCTTCTAAAGTATAAAATCAGAGAATACTACACATAACTATTAACCTCGCAAAGTTTTTGAGAACTGCTAGGTGACCAATTTTTGCCTCTTCCTACCGCAGCAATCCATTTTCTTTTTAAAGTTTCATCATGCGGGTATCTGACTAATGCATAGCCTTGATCGCTATTGTTGGAACACTTGTATGCAGAGCAATACGATGGCATGGTGAATCGTGAATGTATATTACGTTATATTGCCTGTAATATTCAATAAATTGATCAAAAATTCTGTGTGTCACCAAGTAATTGCATCTACAAACTATCAATATACATATATAATTTCAACACCTAAATATACATTTTTTTTTGTAAGGAGAAAATATAATAGCGTTTTCGGCCCGACCGGGTTTGCACCAACCTGGGTTGGATTAATGGCGTTTTGCGCTCTCCTATTGGTAGAGCGTGTGAATGCTTGTTTAAAACAGTACAGTGTTTAAAACATGTTTTAAACATTTGTTTTAAATACAAATGTTTTAAACATAACAACCCTGATAATAAGTATAAGAATATAGAATTAGTTTTAAAAAACACAATTGCTATTGTAATTAACGATCACTAACCTCATATGTGTTACAGCCCTTCTACAATAAAGCCAGCGGCACACGATGCTTGTTTTCTTACTGGATTGCTAGCTGGATTAGATTCTTGCCATGATGTCGCAATATCTTAATCCATATGTATTCTTGCTAGCCAATCACGGTGTAGCTAGTCACATGACCAAGTTCGCAATTCTCTCTACTAGAGGTTCTCTAATGCTAATCAATGCACTGCTCTGAATCAGTGCTAACCAATTCGATTGGCTTTACTTCAGAGCAAAGAGTTCGGCTACAAACATTATATTGTTTGCGAATTCGATTACGAAACGGTAAGTTATATTAATGAATTACATGTATTTTTATTTTTACCTAAATACCGATATATCTTACATGAAATCGTTAATTGTTAATTGTTAACTGTTTAAAAATTTCTAAATTTTCATATAATAATTGTAATTTATTAAATGTTTCTCTCTTTAGACGAAGGTATCGGTGAAACTACAATAAATATATTAATTAGGATATAATATACAGTTTTAATTATACAAATATCACGTACATTATAAATTTGTGTTAATTTGGAATTTTACAATTATTAATAATAATAATAATAATAATTTTTATCAATTTTTATAATAACTTTTATAACGTGTGACTCACTTCTTTATCACTATAACTTTTTATAATTTCCACCATATTTTTTACTTTATTAATTTTCATCTTTTCTAGTTTTAATAATATTTCGCCGTCGCTACTGCTACTGGATGTGTCCAGTAATTCGTTTAATACGACAAATATTTTTTCTGCCATCGTAACCTCTTTGCACTGAAATGCACCGTCAAAAGCCCTCAGTGCATTCGAGTGCGTCCTATGATAGAGGGTGCGTTCCGTTTCTCGCATGATGCGCATAATGCATCGTTTATCCTTGTTGTTCACCAAACGTTAAACAAGGACAATGGATGCATCATGCACATCATGCGCGATACGGAACGCACCTAGAGAAACTAGCTCAATCGAACATAAAGAGTTCACTACATTGTGGCAGTTATCCAATCGAACCCATTTGTATTGACACTAATCTAGTGCAGTTATGAATCGAACACAAGTGGCAGATGCACCAATAGAGGATAACCTCAATCGAACACGCTAAAACTGAGAGAAGGCGCACTCAGTGCACACTAGTGCGCACTAGTGCATCCAATCGAATTCGCCATAACCTGAATGGTCGTCAACTTTAACGAATAATATCTCGGTTTGCGGGGCAGAGTGACGCTTTTTCTGCCAGATTGTTTCGTTTCATGCATAAACGCGTTGAATAATTTCAATTTTATTGATTTTTGGGCTGCGGAAGCTAACTGTACAATTACTTTTTATTTATTTTTACGCATAAACGCATCGAATGAATGTATTTTTATCAAACTTCGAAGTGGAGAGGATATTCTTAATATATACCTGCGTATCAAGTGTTCATGTAAACTTGCTAGGCTAGTAGCAAGCATCTACAATTAATACCTCGCTTCGCAGGGCAGATCGCCGCATTTTTTAACCGAATTCTATCGTTTCGAATAAAAACGCGTCGAATAAATATATTTTTATCAAGTTTTGCAATCCAAATATTTATCAAATACAATATATTATAGCGTGTTAAAAATATTCAGCTGTGTACATGGATGCATTACCACTAAGAAATGTGCATATCCTTAATATTACACTTATGTTTATTAAGATTTGATTGCTCATCTACACTTAACCAATAATTTTATGTTGTGTCTATACAATTTTTTGTTAGAAATGATATATTAATCATGTTAAATGGTATGTTAACGAGAAATTTGTTTTCAGTAGTTTAAAGATTTTCTTTTGCTGTACAACCACATATCTGAAATGTGTTTCAAAAAATGTGCAAATACTTTCCTGTCTCGAGAAATTACTTCTGATGAAGTAAGTATTTTCATAAAAATATATTGAATTGTATAATTGTATTTTGAACATGAAATTCAATTAACTAAAACTTGTAGGAGCTCTGCATAAATAATTGTGTACAGAAATACATCTACACTAATCATAAGATATTGGAAATATTCATGGAAGTACAACCTAGAATGGTGCACAAAAGAATTGAGGAGATAAACATGGCTCAAGCAGCAACGTTAGAAGCACAAGATCAGCAAGTCAAAGTGGAACAGAATCTACAATAATACATCTTTATCAGTTATATGCAATATATTTTTTAATTTGTCAAATACTTTTAATTTCTTTTGCATCATAAATTACGCAGATCTGTTGAAATGTATACAGGGTGACCCATTTTAACTTAGACAGCCAAATAACTCGAAACATCGCGATGAAATAAAAAAATGTTTAAAACAAAAATTGTTGGATATGAAGGGGCTGATTGAACTATGACCTTGACAATGACCTAGTTTTTCATTTTCAAGGTCATTTGAAGGTCAAGGTCATTTTTTTAAATGGGAAGCTCCATTTTTCGTTGAATATTCTTGTAGCTTATCTCGAGAGCTTTCCAAAACACTATAATAAAATATTTTTTTATTAAGTACTTCTCGAGTTATAAAGGCTTTACATAAAAATGAATTTTCAGTGCAAAAATGAAAATAAGAGAAACAATCTCCAATGACCTTGATCTTAACGAATGTTATCTAGGATATGATCCTGAACAACATTCAAGAGGTTTTAACCATCGGTCGGATACCTTGCGTAATGCTAATGTCGGCGGCGGGACTGTAACATTCGAGCCTTTATAACTCGAGAAGTACTTAATGAAAAAATATTTTATTATAGTGTTTTGGAAAGCTCTCGAGATAAGCTACAAGAATATTCAACGAAAAATGGGGCTTCCCATTTAAAAAAATGACCTTGACCTTCAAATGACCTTGAAAATGAAGGACAAGGTCATTATCAAGGTCATAGTTTAATCAGCCCCTTTATATCCAACAATTTTTGTTTTAAACATTTTTTTATTTAATCGCGATGTTTCGAGTTATTTGGCTGTCTAAGTTAAAATGGGTCACCCTGTATAAAGTAATAATTTAAAAAGTGAAACATTTCACAAAACTTGCGAAATATGTCAGAAACATTTTTGAAACAGTTCTGGAATAGTAAAATGTCCGTGATTCTTGCACATGAAACGTTGTTGAAAGGTTCCTGAAAAGTTACAGATAGAATTTACGATTCTTTTTGAAATATTATTAAAAAGTTACTTTGAGAGGATTACGGTCAACATTTCAAAAAGATTTTAGCTATTTCTACAAAAATAACTTTAGTTGTTAACGGAATCCAATAAATTTTAGAGGATTTTATTTTTTATATAAGACCTCAAGAGAGAGAGAGAGGAATTTTCTTAAATTAAGAGGAAAATGTTCTAAATATAATATTCTTATAGTTAGAGTAATTTTATCTCGCATCTGCAATACAAATTTTGCTGTTTTTTTATATTAATTTTCTCTTGCATACATAATATTGTTTTAAGAGAAATTTATATAAATCTCCAGTTGTAATGGTTTTATTGTTAAAAGGTTATTAACTTAGCATCACAACATTTAAGGAGTTTTCTTAAAGTTCTCAAAAATGGTATTTAAATTTATTATATTTAGAGGATTGCAAATAACTAAAACGTTACAATAAATATTATGTATAAAATAGTGTTTTCATTGCACGATTTTATTTAGATTTGGAATCTCATTAATATAATAAGTGTAAATAAGATATAATAAATATAATAAATGTAAATAAGATTTCTTAAATATGCTTAATAAAAATAATTATGTAGGACAATAATATTTTATTTGCATAATATAATTTTTATTTGCATAACATTACTATACTATTTTTAAATCAGTAATTGGATAATATCAATTTTTCGTTTATGTTTAAGGGGATCCTACCCATACAGCACTGAAAATTTTTAGAAATAATTTTAAAATATTTTAACTGATAAGTGAAACATTTCATAAAAGTTGCGAAATATATCTGCAACATTTTCGAGACAGCTCTGGTATAATGAAACATCCGTGATTCGGGTGGCACCCAGTTGGACACGGCTCAATTAGACACGAGCCACTCACAGCGCTTGAGACTACAAAGTTCCTAAGCTCCGGTCGCTGTGATTGATGGTGTCCAATCGAGCCGTGGTCAATCGGGATCACTCCCGCGATTCTTGCACATGAAACCTTATTGAAAGGTTGCTAAAATATTACAGAAAGAATCTACAATCTTGAAATATTACTAAAAACTTACGGAAATAGCTGAAACCTTTTCGAAATATTGCTGACCGTAATCCTCTCCACCTGAAGTACTTAAATAAATTTATTAAGAGTCTTGTGATCTATTTACAAATTACAAAACTTATATATTGGAATAAACTTAAAGTATTTCTTAGAAATGGTATTTAAATTTATTATATTTAAAGGATTGCAAGTAACTAAAACATTATAATAAATATTATGTATAAAATAGTATTTTCATTACATGATTTTATTTTGTATTTGTTCTCATTAATATAATATAATAAATGTAAATATGATTTCTGGAATATACTTAATAAAAGTAATGCTTAATATTATATATAAGACATTTTATTTGCATAATATAATTTTTTATTAGTATTAGGTGTTGAACTTAATTCCTATCGCTCGCTACTAGAGGGTGCTGGCTCCAACGCTGGCGAGTTTTGACGATGAAGTCATATGTCTTTTGTAGTTTAGAACATCGCTGAAAGTGATTCAATCCTCACAGATTAGATTTCTCGACGCCAAAAAGATTTTCCAATCGATTGAAAATGAATCGCGATAAGCTGTTTTTCCGACATGTGCTTCTTCACTACTTCGACCTCAAGAAAACCGCAATTGAAGCGCATCGCTTATTATCCGAAGTGTATGGTGATGAAGAACATGTAGAGTTTGGTTTGAACGCTTCCGAAACGGTGATTTTGATGTGAGAGACAAAGAACGTCCAGGACAGCCAAAAAAATTTGAAGATGTCAAGAATTGTGAAGAGCTGCAAGAATTGTTTGATGAGAATCCAGCTCAAACGCTTTTAGAGTTGTCGAAACAGTTAAATGTTACTCCAAAGGCCGATTGAGTGACGAATTGATGCAAAAAAGATCATCCGTAGCCAACAATCGACGCAAAGTCATTTTGTTGCATAATAACACTCAACCGCATGTCGCGAAAAGCGTGAAGCAGGCACTTTTAGAACTTGAATGGGAAGTTCTGCCGCACTCAGCGTACTCTCCAGACTTGGCACCGTCGGATTATCATCTCTTCCGATCGATGCAACACGCACTTACGGACACACACTTCTCTAGTCACAACGAAGTCCAAAAATGGGTGGCTGAATGGATCGCCTCGAAAGACACCGCGTTCTGCCGTCGCGTCGTGGGATTGCCCTGTTGCCGGAGAGATGGGAAAAAGTAGTAGAAAATGGAGGAAATTACTTTGATTAAGGTATTCATTCATTTTCCCTTCGAAACAAATCGATTTTCGAGACGAAAAAACGATAGGAATTAAGTTTAACACCTAATATATAACATTACTTTTTACATTGCATAACGTTACTACATATTACATTATATTACCTATATATTATATTCATTACCTAACTACAAAAAATAAATTTTTTAATCCATGTTTGAATAATATTAAGTTTCCTTTTATGTTTAAAGTTTTGTATTTTTTCTGTATTCTATAATACTCATAAGGCTCTTAAGAACATTAATTTAATAATTGTTGTTGAAATAAATAAATTACAGAGAAAATAGGGCTATTTACCTCTTAATAAGACATCAATATTGTTATATACTGTTAATGAATCATAGATCATGCATTGTATAATAACAAATCAAATATATTTTATGAGAACACATGAGAAAGGTAGCTAAGAACACATAAGCGTAATACAATTTATAATCACATCAGTTCTATATGTTAGTGTAATTATGACATATTGAGTTTTATAAATATAATTTTGCTTGTATTAAACTTATTTTATAAATCCGTTATTGCAAAGCCTTACAGCACAGAACGCACGCATCACGGTCAATTCGCAGATAAAGCCGGAAAGAAAAAGTGAGCAACGAACACAAAAAAACGACACTACAAAATTATAAAGAAGTTACTATGTCAACGCTAGTAATGCCATCGGAGCCATCTATGGAATTAGTTTGAAATAATTACGTAAAATTACTGTTTTTCAACAATTGTGAAGTATATCGGGCTATTCGAGTCCCGCTGGATGTTATTTGCGAAACTTTTATCAAATATAACAATAATTTATTAATACTAATACATATGTTTTGACTTTTTTAACTTGGTCATCTTCAGTGATCTTATTCTAATTCATTTTATTAACATTATTTACATAGTATCATTAATGAGACCACAAAATTCAAGCCACATAAAAAATAGTTATCAATTGGTAGAAAAAGTAAAAGATATAAAGATAAATAATAACTACAGATTAATATCCTTGGATGTGATTGCTTTATTTACAAATGTATCTATTGAGTCAGCGATAAATAGTGTCATGAAAAGATGGAAATTTGTGGAAAAAAATACTACATCACTTCCTAAGACGGAATTTGAATTAGTAATTAGAATGGTTATACAATCAACGTTTTTTACGTTTAACAAACATTTATAAACAAATTTTTGGTGTACTCATGGCTCTCCACTATCGTCCATAGTAGCGGATTTGATGATGCAAGATTTGGAAGGGATAGCATTAGAACGATTATCATTTGGAATACCGTTCTATTTCAGGTATGTGGGCAACATATTATTAGCCGCTCCTTCCGACAAGATAGATCACATATTGGAAGTTTTCAATTCTCCAGATAGCAAGTTGCCTGTAAGTTGCTGTCAGATTGCTTGAAATTGCTTTGCTGTAGTTGTTTTCAATATTGAGGAAAGGGGCTTCCGATTTTGCCTAGTGGATTGTCGATTTTTATTGCAACCAACAGTTATAAGCAATTTGATGGCAATAGTTGCCCTCTTACAAACTGATCATGTAATAGGTTATCGGAAATCACAGGACAATATAAGGGAAACAATTTCCGTCTAAATTAAGTTACCAGTAATCTGGTGACATTTTAAAGGAAACCGTTAACGTTAAAAAAAGGCTTATTCGGTACGGTTTTAGGGAGATAAGCTACTTATATATTTTAGTGCTGGAATTTATTTACAACTGTTGGCCAATTTTCAATTTGGTTCTTACCCTCTCCAACTCGCGAGCAGTATAAATGTTGATCGGAATTTAAATTGCGCGTGAGTTGGTAAGGTAAAGGGTAGGAATCAGCTAAAAGTTGCAAGTAAAAATTTCAG